CAGAAATGCAAGATTCTTATATGTGGACACATCTGTGAAGGCTGAAGAGGAAAGGGGAGGGAAGCGTCTCACATTGCAATGCATGTCTTAGTGCCCGTGGTGGGAGAGAAAGAAGGGAAGTGGCATGGAGAGCCTCGGTCTGCAGAGCAGCTCTAAGAAAGGCTCAGTCAGGTCAATGGGGAGCCCTGAGCAGAGAGGAAACTGCATTGAGTAAGAATGGCTGACAGAGCCCAGTCCCTGGCTGAGAGCATCTGAAGAGACTGAGACCTCTGTCTGCAGGAGTGCTGTGATGAATCCCAAAGGCATGGTGGCTGGAGGTTTTCAGTTAATTATGCTCTTCAGAGTAGGTGCTCCCTTGAAGGGAGTCCTGAGTGGTGCACTCCTATGGCTGCCATGCCATTTCCTTTCTACATACCGTACTGGATGCCACCTTCCTGCCTGCCCTCTTTTGCTGGATGCTCTCCCTTTGCTCACACTCTAAACAGTGGGGTTCTTCAGGAAACCATTTTCTGCCTGTTCCACATACATCTTCACTATGAGGATTCATCTCAACCCACAAGTTCAAGTGATACCACTACTGAATGTCGATGCTAACTCCCCATGTTAATTCAGGCCATCGTTTTCTCTCACACCTGGACCTGCTAGCTATTCTCCCATCTCATCTTCAGTCTTTCCACCAGCCTCCAATTCATATTGCACTGCCGCTAATTGGACATTCCTAAGGCACCAAGAAGATCCTTCTACTCCTGTGCTGGAAATCCTCAATAGCTCCCTTTTGTTCTCAACAAGAAATGGTTTAACATGATTTAAATGTCCCTTCATGGACTGGTCCCTGCTTACCACTCCAGCCTCATCTATTGTTCACCCTGAACACAGCACTTTTCATTTCTTTGAATGTAACATGTATATCCATGGTATGGAGTATATCTTCTTGCCTGGCTAATTCTCCGTTTTTTGGGTCTCAGCTTAGGGGTCCCTTCCTTTGTGAAGATTTCTATAACCTGCACAGGCCAGATTCAGTGCCCTCCTGGGTCATTCTAAGGACTACCTGGTAAAAGGCAAATAGAATCTACAGAGGGCAGTTAAATATCACAGTGCTGAAGGTTAAAAATGTAATAAAGGGAACAATATTTTCCATATCAGGACTTCTCTTGGGTATACACTGCGTGAGATAGAAAGGAATACTATGTAAATAGTTATGCGTAGGTGATAGTTCTCTCAAGGGCCACGACAGGCAAACGTTCTCCATGCAGTCACGTTCCCACCCCGATCCCCAGCCCTACCCCAGACATTTGGAAATATGTGAGGCCATCTCTATTGTTGATGCCAGTATGGCTGGGAGTTGTCTTGACACAAGGGGGTAGGAAGGCTAGAATGGATGGGGACAGTCCCAAAATGCTAATAAAACCTTCATTGAGAAACATGATACTCAGAAGTATGCAAATCTGGGAGCAGAGCTGAATTGCTCAGAAAAAACAAAGAGGAAACTGAGAGCTAACATCAAAGGTCCTCCATCCTCACCCACTCCTATGCAGAGCTCCACCTCACCTGTAAATAAATGTTGGGTGCATGCTTTTAAACAATATTGGTTTAAAGAAAATTTTAAAATATGTATTGGTTTAAAAAGGAGTCAAATTATTAGCCCAAGTAACACCTCCTATCTCCCGGCTCTGCTTCCCTGCATCCAGGATTTATCTCACTGGAAAGGAATTGTCTGAGAACTTGTCTGAACCCTTAACTTCAGTTCAGGGACCACACCCTATTGTATCGCCTAAACCTAATATAGTGTGGCACATAATATATGTTCAATAAATATTTCTGAACTATGACTCATTAAACTTAAAAATTAGCCCTGAAATATTTTCCAACTGTCCGCCCTACATATTTATCATTAATTTTATGTTTCCAGTTGAATACATCAAACATAACACAGGTACAAAAGAGAATCATCTACTTTGACCCAGCGCTAAAACCATCCCCCAAAGGATCCCAGTTCCCTTTATTATGGCAAATGTTATCACGTTTTTGGGGATCCTCCAGTTATGTACGCCAGAAGCCTACATGGCACCCATGTCTCTGCCTGCTTCTTCCAACCAGTAAATCCCATCTTCCAATCACCTCCTGGGTTCTTTTCCCTTCTTTCCTTCCTCAGCATTTCTGGCTTTAATTCAGGTCTCTTATATACATACTAGAGGCCCAGTGCATGAATTTGTACACGGGTGGGGTCCCTCGGCCTGGCTGGCAATCGGGGCCAACTGGAGCTGTCTTGCCCAGTTCCTATTGGGGTGATCAGGGCTGGCCAGCCATGGGATGGGGGAGAGGGGAAAGGCTGATTGGGGCTGTTGGCTGTGGGGGAGGGACCACGGGAGGTTGGCTCACCCCAGGAGGTTGGCTATGGGAGTGCACTGACCACCAGGGGGCAGCTTCTGCATTGAGCATCATAGTGACCGGTTGAACATTTGGTCGATTGGTTTTAACGGTTGCTAAGACATTTATATATATAGACTAGCAGCCCGGAGCACAAATTTGTGCATGGGTGGGATGGGGACCGGCAGGGGGTAGGGGATATGGGCGGATGGCTGGCAGGCCCCACCCCTGATCAAGGTGGGAGGTGATCAGAGGCGGGGCTGGCAGGGGGGAGGGGGCCTCGGGAGGTTGGGGAATGGGGGCCACCGCAGGGCACATCATAGCAATCGGACGTTTCGGTTGTTCTGATCATTCCATTGTTCCAGGCACTTGGCTTTTAAAGGCCGTCTTCAGGTTACGTCGAACTCGATGTACGTCGTTTTGTGGTTATGTTGCCATCTCCCATTTATTTATTTTTTTAAAAGTTCCATCATTTCGACGTATGTACATAAGTGCTTTGTGTTTTTTATTATTTATTTACCACAAGTAAAGGTCAGGAATTGTTATCTTTCTTTTAAATTTTTTTTACTATTTCACTTCATTACTGCTGTGTATGTGCTCCACATGAGTAGGTGGGTCCCCACATATGGTGAAAATCAAGTTACAGTATGCCATAGGAATGGATCTCTGGCGTAACCCGAGGACCTACCGTGTGTGTGTGTGTGTGTGTGTGTGTGTATGTATATACATTTGCTTTCTAAACCATATCTCTATCCCCATCTCTACCTGCCCTTAAAACATTCTAAAATATTCAAAATATTAGTAATTAATACCGTGTGGGTTTACTGTGATACCAGCCACTACTGCCTTTTGTATGTGTTTTCTTTTTGACTCTTGATGATAGCCTGTTTGAAAGCATTTCCCAAGGTCATTCAGTAAAGCTCCAGAGACAAGACGGAAACGCAGGTAGCCTGGCTCTGAGCTGTGCTAGCGAGGCTCCATAATCTCCTGGAAGCTTCTGCCATGTTGTCCCACATCCATGTCTGTGTCTGACTCTCCTCCCCTCCTGGATGCCCTGGCTGTGGTGAGTCCCCTTGGAGCTAGGGCTTGCTCAGTATTCCTTTCCCAGAGCTGCTGGTGTGCTGAAAGCGGGCGGTGGTTGTGCTGTATGTGAGGGGTGGCTATGAAACAGGGCATTGGTGCGGAGACAAAGGAATCACTAAGCCAATGAGCGAACTAAAGAGTGGTTTGGAGCTGTAGGCAACTAACTACTATTTTATGCTTTTATGGTCTCCCTCCTGTGTGATGCTTGTGGGAGTGGGTGCTTCACGGGGCTGCAGCTTAGCGGCCAGCCTGGAGGATGGCGCCTCCTCCCCATCCGTCTGGCCAACGACAATGCATTCTTCAAATGTTAGCTTTAGCAGCATTCCTATGGCTTCCTGTTTACATGAATGTCCCTCCCCAGTGCTTCGCACACATTTGTGAGGCTGCAAACATCTTGAGGGCAAGGACTGTGGCTTTTCTTCTCTGTATTCTATACCACCTAGCAAAAGAGAATACTTAAAAGGTATACTATACAGCAGAGTATAGACCAGTGGCTAAAAGTCTGGCCTTCATGTCATAGGACTTCTGTTCAAATTTCAGTTTTCTGTTTTTTACCTTGAGCACCTTAATCTGCCTGTGTCTGGGGGGGGGGGGGGGGGGGGATGCAGATCATCATAACTTAGATCAGCAAGTTGTTATGAGAATTAAATAATACATGGGCAGTAACTGACTCCAGTCCTGGCACCTTGTAAGTGCTTGGTATGTTAGATAGCATTGTTTTTCTATTATGACGGTGATGATGATGATAATTTACTAGCACTATCTTATAATGAGGCAAATTGTCTTGGAAGCAGTAGGTTCCCTTTTACTGCAGATACAGTAAGTCCTTAGGCACTTAATATGCTCCTAGGTTGTTGGAACTGTGGTGAAATGACATATAACATAACCAACTTTACCACAGGCTAATTGAAGTAAAGAGAGTTAGGTTCCTGCGGCATCTCATCCACATCACAGCAAAACGATACGGGATGAATCCGTGGACCTGCTGCCTCCAAACAGCAGTAAACGCAGGAGAGATGCTGTGAAGTAGTTTTTATTTGAGAGGATTAGATGATTTCTAAGGATACTTCCAATCATAGGAGAGGGAAGCTATTTCTCTGACTCAAAGATCATTAAGTGTTACTTATAGCAAAGTGAGTGTTAGAATAGAATAAAAAGGACATCAGATATGGTTGTAGGTAGACATTACAAAGAACATACAATTTTATGCTTTGTGAACAGTTAATTGCATAAATCAGGCCCTTACATGGAAATCCATCTCTTTTCAAGAGGACTGGGCTGGCCCTGCCAAAAAGGAACAAACAAAACTTTAAAGACTGTCGCAGCCCTGCTGAAATGTCTTTTCTCTTTGAAAGAAGTCTATTAGTGATGCAAATGCAAAGTTATCTGCACAGATGATAATCCTAGCAAACAAAACGGTGAAACCATTAGAACAGTCTCCTGCAGCATTCGGTCCTGAGAATCCTGAGAGTTTGGCATTCCAGCTTTCAAAGGCAAAGAAAGAGAGCGCAACTGATTCCTGTTTGGGATAGTTTGTTGGGTCTGCTTACCTGCATCCTGTGCTGATTATCCTGTTTAAAGAGGCCACAGAGTTCTCCAAATATGGACAAGCAGAGGGAAGGCCTGCACTCAGAGGCCCCAGCAAGTGCCTTAAACTGGCAAAAGCAGGATCCTTGGCCATGGACTAACATGTAGTCAGGAGTTTAATTCTCAAGACACTGGAGCTTTAAGGTAGACCGTCTAGGAGAAATCCAATGATAAGCGCTTCAAGTAATATGCTCCTATGACTGATACTTTAATTAGAAATTAGACAAATGAAAGGCTACCTGTATCATTGAATAGATGGTCATGTTTTAACACACCTTTTTGTCCATAGGTACTCAGAGTAAACTTCTTTGGGAATTTGGTAAATATGCAGTCTTACTATAGGAGAAAGGATTGAAAAGGTAAAAATGCATGAAGTTAACCGTAAGTAGTATGTGTGGCTATTGTTTGATTGTATTTATCTTATCCCCAACAGGTTTGATGAGATCTAGTTTCTCAGGAGCCAGCAGGCATTGGGGAATATTACTGGTCAGAAGGTGTGGTGTCTTAAAGGTATTAGGAAAGCATTTCTGAAGTAACACTCCAAAGTGGTATTGCCTAAGTGGCTGCCACCTACTTGATCAGACCTTCTGGAAAAGCCTAGTGGGCAATTTATTGAGAACAGAAAACTAACCCTCCCTACCTACGTGGTTTCTTGGACAGCACTGGTGTCCACGTAGACTGGATGTAATGCTGGGAATCTGGGTCTCGAGCAGGGTGGGGCATTGGGCAGGTTAAGAGCTTCCAGATCATCATCACGTGTTTACACTGCAGGTGCAGGAATGGGACTCGTCCATCCTCCACCCTGCGCCGCCTCTTCTTTGCAAGGTTGCTTGACAGCTTGCTCAGTACCCGCCCAGAGTCTTTGATAATCCACTCGTCTCTGGTGAGAAGTCAATCCCTGCTTTTAGTCCTTTGCTCTGCGTTGCCTCCCACGCCCTCCACACCGGCTGCTGGCGGCCGCTCTGCGTGTTTTTGCTCCTCGAGCTTCCCATGCCCTGCCCACGCCGCACGCCTCCCTGCTGGCCCTCTCGGCCTGCCCTCTTTTGCAATCCTGGCGGGCCAACACCAAGGGCCCAAGGGTGTCGGGTATCATCGGGGCAATCACTGCTCACTTTTTTCTGGGGCTTTCCCCTTCCCCGCAGTTCCAGTACCTGCTTCTAAAATTGGGGACCTTGTCTGTCTTGCAAATGAAAGCTATTCCTCCGGTTTAGGATTGGAACCTGATCCAGCAAAGTCAAACATTGTCATCCAGGGGATCGACATGGGTAGGTCCTTGAGCTTGGTCCCTGGGGCAGACAGTCCTTTTCGGGCATCGGACCTTTGCAGCCCCGAACACTTCTGTACCCGGGAAAGCCTAGGCCACTCGGAAAGGGCAAAGCTCGGCCGCCCGCCCGCCCACACCGCGGGGTTGGCGAGCGGGGACGGGGCGCGCGGAGCCGGAGCCAGGTGGGCGCGCACGGGACGGGCAGGCGCGCACGGAACCGGAGCGCGCAGGGACCCGGGGCGCGCACGGACCGGAGCGCGCACGGACCTGCAGCGCGCGCGGACCCGGAGCGCGCACGGGCCCGGAGCGCGCACGGACCCGGGACGCGCACGGACCCGGAGCGCGCGCGGACCGGGAGCGCACCCTCCGGGATCGCGGCTGCGCAGTCGCGCGGGAGCCGGGAAAAGGGGAGGAGGGTGGAGGCGCCGGAGCGAGGGGAGGGGGAGGAGCGGCGGAGGCGGAAGCCATGTTGGAGCTTCCCCCGGAGCGAGGGGCTGCGAGCGTTCTCCTCTCCCCGTGGGTGTGACCGCGGTTCGACGCGGCGGCGCGGCTGCGGGGGGCGGGGACGGTTAGCCCGGTCGTCGCCGTCGTTGGCGGCGGCGGCGGCGGGCGGGGAGCGGCGGCCGCGGCGTGGGGAGCCGGGCGATTGTGACCTCCGGGGGAGCAGGGGTCCGGCCGCGGCTTCCCACCCTCCGTGCGGCCCCCTGAGCGCCCCCCCTCCCCGGCCCGGGAGGGAGGCGGGGGGCACCCGGGCCCGCCATGAACCCCGGCTTCGACCTGTCCCGCCGGAACCCGCAGGAGGACTTCGAGCTGATCCAGCGCATCGGCAGCGGCACCTACGGCGACGTGTACAAGGTGAAGGCGCGGCGCCGGCCCCCGGGGTCCCGACCCGCGGCGGGGGCGGGGGCGGGGGCGCGGCGGCGGAGCCCGGGCGGCGGGCGGCGCTGGCGCCCGGGGCTGCGGGGGAGGAGGCGGAGCGGGGGCCCGGGCTCCCTCCGCCGCCTGAGAACGAACAAAGGGCCAAATGGTGAACCCCGAGACCGCCCGGCCCGCACCTGAGCCCTGCGGCCCGGGACGCGCGTCCCCCGGAGGGCTGGGCGGGCACCGGGCGCCGGGTGCCCGGCGGGGCGGGGCGGCGGGCCAGCCCGCAGGGGGTTGGCGGCTGTCGGCCCCGCGTGCTGCAGACGGACCTGGCCGGACCCGCTGTCCGCCCACCGGGCCCCGGGCTGGTAGGATTACCCTGGGCAGCTCCCATCCACAGCCCCTCCATGCTTCAGCCTTGTAGCATCATCGGCACACCGGTTTCTTATTTTTCCTAAGGAACGCCTTTCTTTGGTAAAAAGCGATCTAGTGTTAGCATGATTTTTTTTTTTTTTTTTAAGGAAGGAGAAACTTTTCTCCCAAGCCCAGCTGCACTTGGAGGCCGTGTTAAAATTGCGTTGTTGTTTTTCCCAGGGATCCAAACAGCAACAACACTTGCATTCAATGCTTTGGAAAGGTCCTGGTTTGATAAGGTTAGAATCCAAAGCCCATGAGGAGTAGCACAGCATTGCTGCTGTTAAGAGAGACCACTTCTAAATGTGGGAGATAAATCACTCCTCCCTGGGCCAGCTCAACTCTTGGCCTCGCAGCGACTGCCAAGAAGAGAGGCGGGCAGTGCCAAATGTGGTGGCAGTCTTGATTTAGTTGTGGATCTTCTTACTGGTAACCCAAGTGGAGCAACTCCTGTTTCACACAAACCTGAGGATGCACAAAGCTTAGCTTGGCTTTGGAAAGCATCGCCTTGACTTGATTTTGCCCTCGTTTAAGCACTAGGTTTATTTATTTTTTATTATTTTTTTTAACTTTTACTCCGGTGCCATTCATATTACTTAGATGTGTCATACGGTGCAGCCAGCATTCTGCATTAGCCTTGGTTGGTGGGTGACTTGCTTTCCACCATCACTTATTTTTCCCTCCGCAGACAGGTGTCTGCTGCACACCTGCTATGTACAGGGCATCAAAGCACTTGGGTTGTAACAAAGACAGACATGTGCCCACTTGGAGTTTATAATTTTGGGGGACAAGATTATTGCAGTTTTATTTTGTGCTGCAGAGGAGAAAGGATTTGGATTAGGATTAGGAGAGCATGTCACAGGAGGAATGCTCTCTCTCCTCCGGGGAGTCGGAGGCCATGGGGAGAGGGAATGATGCCAAATAGAACAAATTCCTGTGGAGGCTCCGAGCCTGGAGGTGAGGCTTTGAAAGGATGCCTGTGCGGCCTGAGCGCCCAGAGAGGGAGATGGTCACGCTGGCCTCTCAGATCTTGTAAGGAGGTCAGACTCCCCCTCAGGACAATGGAGAATGAGATTAAGTTTGGATTTTTGAAAGATCTACCTACTTGGGTGTGGTGAGTGAAGATGAGGAGAAAGCAGTTAGGAAGCTCTTGCAATAGTTCATGTAAAAATAGCCATTATTGCGTTTGGGAGTTGGTGGTGAATGTAAAAGTTGGAATGAAGGGATCCAACTGGTAAAGGAGCCCGTGTAAATTCTGATGAAAAGTTACTAAAACTTTGCCGATGTATAAGTCTTAGGAGGCAGTGTGCACAGTGAGTTCCTTTTCAGTTCTTTATGAGAATAATTGGCCGTGCACTTACTATATTTAGAGAGAGAGAAAACAGCTGTTGGTTAAGCCACTTGACTAAAAAGTAAACAAATTAAGGCCTGTAAATTTCCTAAGAACGTCTATATGCAATACCGGTATACATTGATTAATCTTGTCATCTTTTTAAAATAATGATGATAAAAACTAATATTTACAGAGTGCTTATTATTTGCCAGGCAGTGCTCTAAGGTTCCACGTGTTAATGTACTTAATCTTCACAGCAACCCTGTGAAATAGACATTGCCATTAACTCTATTTTGCAATTGAGGAAACTGAGGCACAGGGAGGCTATGGTAACTTGCTAAAGCTGATAGACAGCAAAGCCAAAATTCAAAACAGTTAGCTTCAGAGACTGAGCGTTTGTAACCATTAGGCAGCACTGCTTCTGTAAAGACGGGGCCTGGGCAGGGGATGTGTTATTGGATTTCCAGGGGAGAAATGGAGGCACACAGTTAGCTCAGCGTTTTCCTTGTAGCCCGGCTCTGAGTTCCATTGGGACTTTGAGTAGCAGTTGGCACCCCCAGCTCCTGCTGTGCAGCCCACTAGGCCGCACTGTTATCATCTGCCAGGCGGCTGTCACATGATAGACGCCCCGCCCCATTCCTACCTGTCAGACTCTCTGGTAACCAGGGACCCAGAGCGGAAAAACTCCCGGCAGTTTTTGGCATTCGAACCACTGCTTGCTAAATAACCCACCGTTTTAATTATTTGTATTTATTTGCCTGTAATCATGTTTGTGCTGTAAAGATAATATTTTTTTTTGCATTTGTTTTGCTGTTTTAGATTTTTCTTATATAAGTTGCATTGATGAGAGAGGAACACATTAGAGGGTTTGTTTTTAAAAGCCAATATGTATAATTTACTCCTTAATTTGTCAGCAACTAGGTGCTAAAAGTGGATTAAGTAACTTAAGTTAGAGACCTAATTATTTATAGTCATTCTTAGAAGGTTGGTGCTTTAAGGGATTTTTATTTTGAAAACGATCCTACTCCAGTGTAGTGATATGCTTATTATATTTCAGGTGGCATGGTTTAGTTAAAAAGCATTGAACCGGGAAGTGGAAGATCTGGAACTTACTAGCTCTGTGGCCTTATAAAATCATTTAGCTTCTCAGGCTGTTCTGTTGTGCAGGTATTACCATCGTATGTCCTTCTGTTTACAGAGTTCAATAAATGACTTGAATTTTACTCAACAAATAAGGTTTGATTTTTTTTTTTTTTCCAGGTCCAAAAAATGCAAATATATGTATTTCCTCTGTGCTGTCGTAAAGTACATGGGGATAGAGTTGTGTGTGTTTTTAAAGAAGTAATACTTGCCTTTAACTATGTCTTTTAACTGTGGGCTTTCCTAGGATCTGTCAGTCAGATGAAATAGCTGTAGCAAGGATTATCTAGGGACCTGGGGGTTGACAGCTAGAGAGAGCTGTGGTTGGTCCTCAAGTGGCATCTGAAGGCCTCTGAAATCAGTAGGCTTAATGTTATATGTATATATGTTTTTCTGGAGAGATGACCTAATAGCATTCAGTACATTCTCAAAGGATTCAGTGATTCCCCCAAAAGAATGACCTGTAGGTTTGTCATTTGAAAGGGTTTTCTTGGAGAAATTAGGTATTTTCTTTGGTTTTTGTTTGTTGATTTTTTTTTTTTTGTTTTTTTTTTTTTTTTTTTTTTACCAGATCACGTTATCAACATTGATATGATTTTCACATGCATTATGCATTGTGCTATCTTTTCTTACGAAAATTTTCAGTTTAATTTGTATTATTCCTACCCTAAAACTCTTTATGTCCTGATGTTTTTCTGCAGTAGTGCTAGAGAGACGCAAAAGGCACTAAAGCTGGAGATAGGGCAAGGCAAAGGATGTTTTTTTGTTTGTTTTAATATACTTTATTGATTTTTTTTTTTTACAGAGAGGAAGGGAGAGGGATAGAGAGTTAGAAACATCGATGAGAGAGAAACATCGACCAGCTGCCTCCTGCACACCCCCTACTGGGGATGTGCCTGCAACCAATGTACATGCCCTTGACCGGAATCGAACCTGAGACCTTTCAGTCCGCAGACCAACACTCTATCCACTGAGCCACACCGGTTTTGGCACAAAGGATGCTTTGAAGGACCAGTCTCCGTGTGTTTCTCGGAAAGTGTCTTTTCTAGTTGCCTGACTCTGGCCCAGTCCCTGTGAATGGATTCCCAGGTGTCTGAGCCGTGGGCTTTCTCCTGAGCTCTAGCCCGTCGTCCAGCGAAGCTCCTCACAGACCACAGCTTCCTCAAAGAAGCCTCTCTTCATACCCCTTTTTCTCAAAGCCCCAATGCTGGCAATTCATTAATAAGTTTTGAAGCCTTGGAATCATCTCTTACTTCCGGCCTGGACTTCATAGGCATTTTCCATAGTGTGGCTGGGACGCTCCCGGGAAGGCTGTACCGTGCGTCTAGTATTAAAGACTGAGAAGTCCTGTGATCAAGAAACCTGTCATACTTGGCTTTTACTCAGTCCTCCTCTCTGTGCTTCAGTTTCCTCAGTTGTAAAATGGAAATGCATAGGGAAGTGTTTAGGGCAGTGCTTGACACATAGTACTCAGGAATTGTTAATTGCTGTCAGTATCTAGTATTATTTATTGTTACATATTTTACCCAGCAAACTCCAAGCTTACTTAACTAAGGATTCTTTGCAATGCTTATTGCTTGTCCGTAGAACCAGTGCCTGGTAGGACATGCTTTGGAAATGTGTATATTTATTTTATCTATGTATGTTTGGAGGCCATTTCCTCTGAAGCAGAGACAGTAAAATGTTGCTAAGCACACATGGTAGTCTATATAAACAGGCTTGGAGTCAGTATGAAAGCTGACAGGAGAAAAATTGAAGATTGGGCGGTGAAACCAGGAAATGAGTGTGTTCAAATGTTTAGTGAATTACATATTGACTTATTTGTAACTGCATCTTTCAGGGTTGTTATGGTAATATCATCAAACACTAATTCTTAGACTATAAGAACCTTTCAGGAAAACTTAGTTCTGAAACCGCACCTCTGAGGAGGGTCATGAGGACCTTGAGCATTTAGAAAAAGAAAGCACGGTTATTTGGGGTTGCGCTTATTTTTACTTCATGGAGAACCAAGTCTAAAGGGTATCAGAGGAGGTGTCCCTAAACTTCAGAAAGATTGCTTGAATATTTAAGGTAAATTAATGTAGAATTTTTCAACATCAGTATTATT